TGCCCAGGTGTGCAATTAAGTTTAGTTTGTTGTAAAATAATAATTCCCCCACCTATGTCGCTCAGTCACAAAAAACAAGCAGATTTTGCGTAGCCAAATTCTAAACTTTCACGACATATTCATAGGCAAACGCCTTATATAAAACTCTTTAGATTTAGAACTTATACGTTATATTTTCTAATTATATATGCTGCCGAAGCTGTTGATCCCAAAGAAAATGAAAACGATGATGAATTTAAAAAATAAAAACTCAAAATTTATCTTCGTAAGAAAATATTAACCTGTTTGAATACACTGAGTTTACAACGAAATTTGGGCTCTGTAACGATACTATTGTAATATTCTCGTACAAAATTCTTAATAATAATTGAAGTTATTGTGCAGCAGTTATCTTATAATGGAACATAAATGTTTATACATAGACAAACTCATTTAATTGAGAATATGTACCTACCTACTGACAAGCATACTAATGAGAAATAAAATGTGCAGGAACAGGTACACTTCAATGTCTTCTTATGTTTTATCTTCTTCTTTTTTCCTACGAGAGGTCTCCTCATTTTTAGTATTTTACTATAAATCCTGTCATTACTTTTTCATTAAAATGTGAACTATGAGTGAATGAATAAGGCAGGCAACAAAAGCTTAAGTGTAACCACTTGCTCTTGATATAAATATCTAAAGAATGTCAAGAGACGGATGTGAAAAATGTGTTTATGTTTATATTAAATTCAACCCTTACTCAAATGAATCCAATGAGTATAGTGTCGCCATTACTGTCATATTAACAAAAAGGGATACAAACAAGTCAGTTTTTTTTTAAACACAACTTAAAAGCAGCTCTCCAAAATTATTACTAACATAAATAAAATAAAAAATTAATAAACAACACCCATCACCCATGACATAATGTATTTTAATATCTTTCATGGTAATCTATGTGGCGCTTTGGGTTTTGAGATAAGTAGTTTTTCCAGTGTAGCAAAAAAGAAAACAATGAGCTAATTGTGTTATAGGCGCGATTTTTGAACATAACTTATTTCAATAACAATTTAAAGTTTAAAGCAAGGGATAAAATTATAAAAATTGCATTTTTCAATTTTATAAAAATTTTAAGGTTTATTGTAATAATTGTTTTATTTTAATTTAAAATCATTTCATTTTTATGCACCATGGCAATAACTAAAAATGTAATATTATTATTCATATTTAAAAATTGAATTCAAAATTCGTTCTCGGTCGTTGAAAAATATATAAAATACGAACACGTCTCTTTAAAATTCTGTTTTAGTTCAGGAATGACAATTGTATTCTGTGGTAACCATCCAAAGTGTGTCTTTAAACCGATTGTAGGTCTATCTGCTGAAACAGAACCACAATACAGTAGTAACTAAACGTGTATACGTTTCTTAAAATTGAAATACTATACCTGACTTGGCTATAAAAACCCATGATCCCGTTTCTTTTATCACTTTTTATTGGTAGGAAGGTAATTCTATAAGACGATACACATTTACTGCTGAGAATACAAAAATAAGTAATAATAAGCAGTTTATGCGATGTGTGTTACATCAGAATAGTCATATGTATTCCAAGAAGGTAAATGGGGTTAGTTAACATACTTTAAGAATGGAAAAATAGGTACATTTGAAACCCATATAAAAAATTGGATAATAGAACGTATTTTGTATTTGTTTCGGTAAATATATTTTACCAAATTCTGTAAAGTTAGTGTCTTTTGATTTCAATTACACGATATAATAATATACCATGAAAGGTTTTTGTTTTCGTATTGATTATAATTTAGATGTATCATTTTTAGATTTTATTTTGAATAACTGAAATTGTTGAAATCAGTCAAATGAAAATGGTAAGTAGGTTTGACGAGGTTCCAAACTATCAATTTTGTTGATATGGAAACAAAACCAGAGCTGTTAAATTTGGGTTCTCTTTCATAATTCAATTATATCCATTTACCTCAAAGCGAGTTTATAAAAAGATCTTAAGGGCCTTAAGTTCTAAAAGTTAAATAAAAGGAACTTTTTCAGATCTGAAGCTTCCTTAGAGACTATGTTACTTCTTAGGCAAAGCCTGAGTTAAGACTAAGACTTTTTTATAAACTCATCACCATGATGCAATTGAGAGATTTAGAGACATCTCGCTGTCTCAAGATGAAGACATTCAGCTAGTTTATTCCACTCCAACTTCAGCCGTTTGGAGTTTTCTGCATGAATTATCAACAACACCCTCTGTTGAGAAGACAACGTTTATTGTCAAATATAAATCTAATAAGACTACATTATTTTGTATAAATGACAGTGCAATAGTTGCTACAGCACTACGTACTAGTTGGTATGTGTGAAACCATTACTGGGTAGGTATACAAATCTCTCACACTATTTAAAAAAATAATAATAATAGTTTAAATAATTAGATGTATTTCACAGGATCTAACGACACTTACAGTGTACGATAATTCAATAAACAAAGAAATCTAAATAAAAAATATAGATAAATTTCGAACAAATACCCTGAATATGAATTTTTTGAGACAAAACGTCTGAATCTGATTCGGGCTGAGTCAGTGCAGTGTTGGAGATCTTGAAGGCTTGCAAAAAGTATAATAAAATTTCTAGGGTCATATTTAAAAAAATGAAGTTGATGATGGTCCTGGAGAGACAAAACGTTACATATAAAAATTGATTATGCCATTCGATAGAGGGCAAAAAGTGGCCATGAGAAAGTGTTCTTCTTTTTTCAGTATCACCTCAAACAAGGTTGAAATGAAATAAAAACGGATTTCCGAAATTTCGGTTTTTTCAAATATTTTGAAAACTAATCATGTTAGCCTTGATTTTTTAGAGGCATAATGTTGTTCCCCTGATTATGCAACTTTTTCCCCATTTAAGATACTGCGTATCTCTTACCGTTTTCGAGATCCCTATCACTATAGGCGAATTTGTAACAGCCTGTATATATCCAAATCCAAATTGTAAGCCCACAAACTGAAGATATAGAAGTTAAAAAAATGCATACATGCAGTCAAATGACTGAAAATTATGATTTATTATAACATCATAATTCAGATCTTACTAAATTCTGTATTTATTATTTTACATTTGAATTTAATTCTTTGTCTGTATTTAATTATGATGCCTTTGGATTTATCTATCCATTTCCCAAGAAAATGGCTTCGATCTCCTTGGCCTACAGAGCAATTGCCCTGTTGCCCGATGCCACAATCTTACACTGTCAATGGTAAATTATGTATTATCTAGTGTGAAATAAACAAAGGTACAATAATAAAGTTTACTGTCTGCTAGATAGCCATTTTCATTAATATCATTAGCATTCCAACGTATCTGAACTTAATTTATTTTTTGATTCTCGGGCATTCTAGCATTATCGATTAGCATTTTTTATGTGCACACTTTTGCTGGGAACTTTATGGATTTAGTTCATGGTGCTGTTGTTATAGGCAACCACACATACAACACTTAAATGTTTTCACGAAAGCTGTGTAATTTCAAAGATAATAATCGGCCAATATCCATATGCATTAAAAAGCCGAGGTACGTTTTTAATAGTAGCAGCATGTAAATAATTGCAGGAATGCATAAATGTAGAATAAAATCAGTTTTGTTAGCGATGAAATTCCTTTTAATCGAAATTAAAAATTGTATGGATTTAAATAGGTCGGAATGGCATTTGTATATTATATTGTCAAAACTATACAAATTTAAGTTATTGCCTGTGCATCCACAATATCTTTGAATATTAATGGGGACATATTAGTACACAAATATATGTATTGCTGCGAACAAAAAAGTGGCAAAACTAAATTAACGGGGTTAAAAGAACAAAACTAATAAGACTCCTTAAATAGTTTAGGAAGAGATAGACACATACTACTCAGCATCCTGCCAAACTTCACAACTGTTCCTCTTATTAAAAAAGTCTGTTGTCTTTATTTATGATAAAATTAAATACATGTTTAGAATCTTAAAAAAATTAATATGTATTTATTCTTGACGGCCTTTATGTAATGTTCTATTTTTTTAATTATAACAATGAAAAAAATGCATCTGAAATTTCTAAATGTCTAGTAAGTATAGGTCACTAATTAGTTTTAAATTTGTCAACATGCATGTAGCTAGGGGGGCAGGAGTGCGCATGGCCCACCCCAGAAAGCCCGATGCCCACCCCTAGAAAAAACATCTAATTTTGTCATCTTTGACATATCGTTAAGTCGGTGATTGCGTGCCTTTTTTTAGGATCAAATCAAAATGTGGTCAAATATGGGAAAGTCGCTGATTGCGAGATTTTTTGTGGGGCTTGCCCCAAGCAAAAATTGTAGCTACGCCCATGTTTGTCAATCTGATAAAATAATATGAAAGATGAAGATTAATAAATTAAATGTTGAAATACAAAGGGTACATTGGAATGTATTAGTGCTATTAGTAAACAAAACAGAGAAAAGAAATATTAGTTTTTGCAAATTGTTTTTCTACCAGAAATATATTACAATCTCTACTCTGTAACATAGGCAACCAGTAATACAAACAAGAAATTACAAATTTTTTAAAAATTAGTAAAATTTATACCACACACTTTTCAATAATTTTAAATAATATGCCTAATTAACAAATGGAACTTTTTCTTCTGTTCTTGGGGTTATAATAGGTCCGTTCTAGCAGCGATCCGGGACTAGTTTGAGATTGTCAAAAGCGTTCGACCAACTATTTCTTGCAGTACATCCACTGAAAGTACTTTAACAATTTAACTGATCAAATATTTCTGACAGTTTGAAACCAGTCCCTAATTGATGCTAGAACATACCTAATGTTAGAAACAGAAAATAATTTATAATTGCAAATTTTAAATAATAAGTATATTTCCTGATGCTACACTGAATAATCAATTTAATATCAACATTGTAAATTGTTATTTCTGCATTTGGCACGGTCAACATAAAATGGGAATTAAAAATAGAAACCATGATGTGTTGACAAGATTTATTTATGTTTCAAATACTACAGGATCACTTCTTATATCTAACTGAGGATTTGCTTCCTGTAAAAGTAAACAAGTCATTTCGTACGTGGTTGACCGCAGAAAATCATCTAGATATAAAATTTTTAATTTCATCAGCTTATACAACGCACCAATTCCTCGGTCTGTAATATTCGGACAATTTCTTAGATCTAAATAAACCAAGCTATGACTAAAAATATTGCTTATTCTGTCCATACACCAGTCATCCATTTTTTCACAACCGTTAAGACTCAACCACACAACATTTTTTAGATCTCTTAGATTTACTAAACCTTCATACATTAAATTCATATCGCTACAGTCAATGGCTTCAAGAATTTTCCCTTCCTCATAAAACTTTGGTAGAGTATATTCATTGTGTTCATTGGCTTTTATCCACTTTTCTTCATTAAAAAATTTAACAGAACCACCACGATGAACAATAAAATGAGCTGCAGCTAATTCATTACCTAACATTTGATTTCTCTGAGGCAGATACGACTGCAAAATAATATCTCTTTCTTCTGTCTTCGAAGACCACCAGTTTTTAATACTTGACGGAGACACATCAATGGGTGTTTGTAATGTTTTTAGAACACTTCTGTTGTTGTCTTCTTTGTAGAAAGTTCTTAGGAAATTATAATACTGGCCTTCTTTTTGATGCCAAGGTGTTCTCCATTTCATATCATTTCTAGAAATTTGTTTTGGATCATATTTTTTTGGGATAAGCTCATTGTCTTCACTTTTTTGTAAACTTTTTGGACTGTCTTTAAAGTTATTTCGAGAAGAACAAAGTTTACAGTGTTGAAATGTGGAATTCGGTAAATTTCTAGGTAACTTAAACTTAATCATGCCTTTTAATTTTTAAACATTAACATTTAACATTTAACGTTAACCTAACTTGTGTGGTATTTGTGGTTAGGTTACTAATTATTTAATCTGTATTCTGTACCACAGAATAGGATAGACCCTGTGTTCTGTGTCTGCCCTCTGTAATCTATGATCACGTGATCTAAGATCTGTGAAGTTTATAAGGACCGAAAACTCCGCGTTTAATCTCCATGACTCCGTGTTAAAAAAGTGAGCCATTTCTTGGGTCACGTAAAGGTGGCGCTGATGTAATTACGTAGAGTATAAAAAAGAAGCACATGAAATTTAAAATTAAAATGTTTATATAAACGTAGCTAGCTTTATTTTTCACTAATATTTTAATAAACATTAAAGTCCTTCCACTTATCTACTGCATGTGACGTTGTAACTTGTAAGCGCAACTTTTTTACTAGAATCTCTGCATCAGCGCTACAACGGCGAATCCTAACGTTTACTTACTTTGGGTCATAAAACTCTTTGAGGATTGATAATTTAAATGCGCAGTTGCGACCTCTATGGGTGCTGTGTTAATTCATGTTGACATGCCCACTTACAATATAGAAATCTTTATATATTTTTTCCACTATTTTATGTTAGTTTCTGACGTTTGACACTGGACAGTAGACATTTATTTACAAATACAAATTTCAAATTTAAATTTTTATACGTTAGTAAATAGTTAAAGTCTACTTCATATTTCAGTATAATACATTTAAGTATCATAGGGATAAGTACACTACTGCAATCTGTTAATTTTGTTGTTAATGTGTGTTAATAGTTACAAACTGCAAAATAAATAAATATAACCTAAAACTACTATTGTATGCGAAAATTACAGAAAATGGTCCGATATCAAGCATTGAAAGGTTTATATGACACAGAAAGGACAATAGGTTGCGGAGGATTTGCGAAAGTAAAAATGGCTACACATTTAGCAACTGGGGAGAAAGTAGCTATTAAAATTATGGATAAAACAGCACTAGGCGATGACTTGCCCAGGGTTAAACTTGAACTTAAAGCTTTGCAAACTTTATCTCATGAACACATTTGTAAATTGTATCAGGTAAGATACACACAAGTCGACACAGTGTATCAGATGATAAATTCATAATAGTTTTTGGAATAAGCTTAGCCTTGTTTATATCTCCTTGCTAACATTTTTATTCTATTATGTGATAACAAATTGTTATTTGTCTTATATTTTCAGTAAAAAGATTCTCGTAATACTTAAAATTAGTTACTAATAGTATATAATTTGTGTATTTGCTCAAGTACCTAATCTTTAACTTTTCCAGGTGATTGAAACTGGAAGCAACTTTTTTATTATTATGGAATATTGTTCTGGAGGAGAGCTTTTTGACCATATCGTCGAAAAGAACAGGTTGACAGAATCAGAAAGTCGAATGTTCTTTAGACAAATCGTTTCTGCTGTGGCTTATTTACATAGTTTAGGATATGCTCACCGGGATCTGAAACCGGTAACTTAGTTTTATAATGTAACAGAACTTGCTTTGTTAACTTCTTTTTTTTCAGGAAAATGTTCTTTTAGACAAAAATCAGAATTTAAAACTGATTGATTTTGGATTGTGTGCTAGACCAGAAGGCGGTATGGAGAGCCCTTTATTTACGTCTTGCGGTTCCCCTACTTATGCCGCCCCCGAGCTTGTATTAGGGAAACAGTATTTAGGACCTGAAGTAGATGTATGGGCTATGGGCGTATTACTGTATGCCCTTCTTGCTGGATCGTTGCCGTTTGATGACCTTAATATTGACAGCTTATATAAAAAAATTTTGGTAAGCACGTATTTATCTTCAAAAAATTTTAATTAAAGAAACATCCTTCTATCTCGAAATTAATTTTATTTAATACTTTTTCTTATACAGTGCAATTTTACCTTTTTTATTTTTTCCCAAATGGTTAGAGGCACCAAAAAATGCATAAAACTAATATATTACAAATAATTACCTAATATTACAGTTATATCAATCAGGGACATAAATGTTTGGTTTACTTATAAATTCAATCAGCAAAACATATTCTGTCATCAGTAACATTCCGAAACTGTTTTTTACGAGGCTCCAGTTTAACCCCAGTTGATGATATATCCTTTTATTTTCTTTATCCAGGATGTCTTGTATTTGTTTTTTTGTGTGATTATTTAGCGCTACAGAAGGACAAGTCGATAAACCAAGCGTACAACACAAGCACAAGCAACCACAAAACAACAACTTGATATTGTAAGACATCCTTTTACGAAGGACTTTGTTAATTTTATAAATAGTAAGTTTGTACTCATCACGAGCCAAAATGGACACTAACGTGCTGGGCATGTCCGATTTGAAATGGTTATTGAGTCCGAATATAGTAATATTCCCATCTCCTTGTATTATTAGCGGTTCTTTTTGTGGATTGCTGTACGACATTGACGGAATATCATTGCTATGTTGCGGTCTGTAATTCTGCATTTGGATATTGAACATAATAGTGACATTTAATAATGTGACATATTTCAATTTTTTTCCACACTACTCTTTCTCCAACACTACATATTAAAATATTGTGCTTTTATGCAGAACACATTTTGTTTTCTTTTGATGGTGAGCAAAACATTGCAGTTAAAACTAGTCATTTAAGATCTTTTCCTTTAAATATTCGGTATGTTTTGTTTACTTTTATTCGTGTAAACAATGTACCTGCATAATCTTTAAATGTTTTTATCTTATCATTTGTTTAAATAATTCTTCGGTGACAATTAAATAGTAGCAAAACTATTTATAAATAGTGAACTTATCACTGCAATAATTAGGCTATCTGGTTTTAAGTTGTTGTACACATATTTATGTTCTTACGAAATATTTAAAATATCCAAATTTTTTTTTATAACTAATTTTTCACTTAACGTACCTTAGAAAGTAAAATATGTGTTTTAATTTAGTAGAATAGTAGTGTTGATTTATGGTTTTTGGGCCGTGGGGATTGAACCCGTGACAGTGGCATTCATCGATTCAAGTATTGACGCCTCAAACCGCTCGACCACCGACAATTAAAGTCTGTGAATTTAAATAAATTATCCTACTTAAATCTGAAGCAAGTTCTTTAGTACGGTACAAAACACATTTACTACATATAAATGACTTTGTATATTGAAAGGGGTTGTTTTTTTTTTAATATATTTTGCTCTTCATAATTGTGACAAAATATCAAATTAAAATCAAAATAATTAATCTAAACCTAAAGCAGGTAAATTTATTATTAATTAATCTAAACCTAAAGCAGTAATTTATTAACATATTCGTCAATTTTTTTTAATTGTTGTACTTAAAATGTGACAAATTGGATATCACTTAATTTTTACTATAAATGTTTAGAGTGATTTTCGGAATGAATACATGGTAGATTAATATCAAGCAACTATATTAATCAAAGTGTACAAATTACGTAAGAGCTTTTATCTGAATATTTGATCCCCCACACCCCCACGTAAGAGACCATCAGTTTTACAGAACCCCCTCCCCCCATTCTGAATCTGGATCTGATTGGAGGGTAACTCAGCAGTACTGAGTTACAGCACTTAGGCCCCCTTGTGCTTCTCCCTCATTCTTACATAAGATTTTTCTAATATAAAATATTCCGTTCTTTTCATATTCCATTTGCGTTTGTTTATTAATAATTAATTATTTATCTAAATGGTAGTTTTTTTAAAATGTCTATTTTCTTTAAATGTTCATAATATCGTCTTACGTAAGTAATTATTCTTTGATTCCTCCTCCCCCTTCTGCTTTTATATAGTTTGTAAATCGCCCCTTAGACACAAATCACCTACTATTTTAATGAACCAAAGTTATCAAATCTAGAAAATATTTCATTTCAACAATCAATTTATTTTTTACGTTCTTTTTAAAAAATTTGTATCTAGTATTATCATATTCGATGCAAAGTAATAAATCATTACCTGTCAAGGGATCCAGTGCAGTACGGTTTTAAGGGGTTTAGAAATTGAATAATTTCTTTACGCATTATGAAGGGATGAAGGGATCAGTTCACTTCTGGCACCCCTGTTTCTAAAAAAATTCCTTTATTCCTTACACTACCAGAACTTTGTAAGACTCTCCGGACTGTTTCTAAGACTGTTCTGGGTAAACCTGAATGTTCTCTACATTTTAGTTTTCGACTTTTAATAATGCTTATCTAACCGTACACAATGTTAAAAAAAATGTATCAAAATCGTGTATAAAGTAGTTACAGAACAGGATTATCGTCAAGAAACAATTAATCACAACATTTCCAAAATTTCATAATTTTTTGAAACTCTAAGAAATGTCCAATTATGTGACATTTCACAGCTTCACAACGCTATTAATAAAAGAAAGTTACAGATAGGTCAGGTGTTGAATAAAAAAGTAATAAAAAATGTAAAATTGCACATAGACGAATAAATGCACGTCTAAATGTTATTTCTTCAATAATTTATTGTACAATTTTTTTTTAAAGAGTGGCAAGTATGAGGAGCATACATTTATGTCTCGCGAAAGCCTTCGCTTAATAAAATCCATGCTACAAGTTGATCCCAAAGCGCGTATTACCGTAAGCGAACTTCTTTCACATCCTTGGCTCACTTTGGGTGTTTTGGATCCGGTCGAAATCAGAATGGAGAACTCTAAGTGCTACGATGTTGAATGCGTTAATGTCATGGCGAAATATTATCAAGTGGAGCCAGATGTTATTTGGAATCACATAAAAAAGTGGAAGTACGATTACCATACAGCGACGTATTTTCTTCTACTGGCAAAGAAGAAACGAGGCTTTTCACTGAAGTTATACAGCAGCATAGCTAAATTTCCCCTACCAATTAAAATTGTTAGTATAATCAGTTTTAGTGGAAAAATGACGTCAATAATTTCACTTTGGTTTTTTAAAGAGTCAAACACCCAACAAGATTATTCAGAAAAACTTCACGTGTCCTGATTTGCTGGCCGGTATTAAAACTCCATTGCATGTAACATCTACTCCGACGAAGAAAGACGAAAATACTCCTATTACTCCTAAAATCGGAGACTTTTCCAGTCCCATGGGTTTCATCGAACCAAGAAAGCCTTCGAGTATTCGTAAGCCTCAGAAGAGGATAAGGAGCCCCGGCCCAGACGATAGCTCACCAGGTAAGTAAATTTCGAATTTAATATCTTAAGATGGAGGTCACAGATTTTTAGTTTAAAGCAGCAGTCTTCAAACTTTTACGACTTGCGGAACCCGGTTAACATTTCGATTTGTTTGAGGAACCCTCACACCTAAAAAAATTTTCAAACATAATTTTTTACTGTTTATATAATATGTTTATAGTTACTAGTTTTAAGTGAGAGTGTAAATTTTTTTGAATTTTGTAGTGTCGATATTGTTAATTTTAAAATTTTGAATTATTGACTGAGTCGCGAAACCCTCAGAGAGGTTGTGGGGAACCCCAGGGTTCCGCGGAACACAGTTTGAATACCGCTGGTTTAAAGGTAAGTCATGATGAGCATAGCTGCAATGTGCTTGTATCTGTCCATTTTATTTAAAAGATTATAAAAATTGATGTGTTGAATGTTCTTGAAAACAATTGAATGTTCCGTTTTGGAAATATAAACCAACGTTTTGTTGTACGAGTGTTGCCTTTTATATTTGAACCAATTTTCGAATCCCTTTTTCCATTTCAATTGAGGTACCTTCAGCACGCTTTTTCAGGCGTAGAAAAACGATGACTTCATAATTTATCTTTAATGTGCAGGAATTAAAAAAAATCAAATCAGGGCTGTATGGTGGATATCAATTCGATGTTTTCATTTCTCAAAAAGTCTTTTGTTTGAGGTGATGTGTGAGAGCTCGTATTGTCCTTCTGTCAAACAAATGGTTGTGTACTTTTCAGAACTGACCGTCTGATATTGCATTAATGGTACAGTCACCACATGTCTGTTTTTTTCGAAAAAACAGGTGACCATTTACTTAGAACTGTTTTGTATTTGGCTTATCTCGAGAGACCCATACAATCGTCTGCTGTTTACTTTCTAGCTCATACACATAGATCCATGATTGGTCACCACAACGGGTCGTAGACGTGTTTTGAAGCACCGCGATCGTATTTCTTTAAGCGTTTGTCAAATAAATTTTCCCAATGGTCCCATTAATGTGCAGAGATGATTTAATCTCACGATAAGTCACATGTCGATCTTGCAATATCAGTTCATGCACAGCATCACTGTTTTCTGGAACAATAACCGATTTTGGACGACATTTATAGAATTCGTCAGTGAGCGAACCATAGCCACGATTGAATTCGATGTATCACCGATATTCAGTGGTTTTTGATGGTGCTTCAATGCTAAAAAATTTGAATAAAATTCATCAATGCACTGTTGTTGAGATAATCCATGTTGAAAGTTGTAAGAAATAATCGCACGGAAATGTTTACGACTTAATTCTATTGTTTGGCTGAGATAAATTTTTCAAGTCCCTGTAAACAGCACAAATAGTGCCTGTACGTCAAAGCGTTCTCAAAAGGTCGAACTTTGCGATAGGGATGTTGGTTGTCAGATGGCAGCACCAAGATCATATTCCCGAAATATAAATGGCAACCCTCGTATATCGTCAGTTAATTGAATATATACAGGGTGTCGCGTTTAAACGTGATACAAGATACAAGCCTGTAGCTTCTTTGTTTTTTGACAGATTTAAACAATTTTTTTTTAGAATGTATAATACAGGGCTGGAAAATCCACATGGTCCATCTGCCTTTACCTGAGAGCGACAAAGTAAAGTAAATAAATCCGTGCGATAGACAAGGATGGCTATAGTGAAGACGTTTCATAATCTGAATAGTCACCGCCCGTTTCAGGTTAGAAGTGGGACTGAATGTAACCATCCTTGTCTATCGCACGGATTTCTATGACTTACTTTATCGCTCTCACGTAACGGCCGATGTACCATGGGGACTTTCCGAACCTGTATATTGTTAGAACATAAAAAATGTAAATTGTAGAACGATTACTTTTAATTTGAAATCTGAAAAATTCATCAGTTTTTGTACTGATTTTTTTTCCGAAAAAGCGAATTAACAGTTTTATTTTGATCATAACTGTTAATTTTGATGCTAATGACTTAAAGTCAAGTTCATTTGAAAGATTTTTTTAAAGTACTTTAAAAAATGTTCTGTGCATTTTTCTTGAAAAATAGAATTTATTTTAGTTATTTCACGTTAAATGCTTCCAATTTAGTTTCTGGCGGACATGAAATTGTCTTCAACCAGTTGTATCTCAGCACCTATTGCACCTACATAAATGAAAAAAAAAACAATCTCTTTCTTTTTCTATAAGTTTCATTTTCTTCGTGATGTTTTCTTTTCAAAGAATGTCTATTTTCCGAGTTATTCGAGAAAAATTACGTCTTTTCGAGAAGCGTATTTTTTTTCAATAAAAAATGTACATTTTCAATCAACCAATAACATGTTGACTTATTGAAAAATGTTCATAAGATACTTTTTGCTTAAATAATTCTATAATATGAAAAAAAAACTTTTTGAGAAAAGTTTTAATTAAATAGGTTCTTAAATGCACTGTGACGACATATTTCAACGGAAACGCCCATCTAAAGACGGTATTTATCGATTTATTTATTTCGTATTCCTCTTGAAAGATAAAGCTTAAAAGATTCTACATTTTACCATGCGTTTTAAATTTGTCAAAAATTTTGATAGCGATTTTTTTTATCTAAAATCTGCCGGAACTGCACATTTAAGAATACATTTATTTGTTGATTTAACTCCGTATAGGAGGAACAAACATAAAATCGTTAGTATTAATTTTACAATAAGCAATGAATGTTTTCTTAGGAAATTTGGTAGAATCTACAGTGAGGCGATTCAGAGTCCAGTTGCCTAACTAATTTTCATCGAATTTAACAACTGAAAATAAATTCAAATGTTATGTGATCTTATAGAATTTTTTTAGCTCTATCACAAAAAAATCTCGATTCAAATCAGTTAATAATTACCCTTTTTACAAGGGTGTTTCTATATGAATTGGGTCACATTAGATTATATTCTTTTTTTAGTAAAATAAATTTTTTTAAATATAAATATTTTTTTTGGCAGAAACAATAATTTGCTTTTATCATCAGCATATTGCGACTTAAATTAGGTACACGTTTGGGGATCAGTTTTATTGCCGGTCTTTATTTGTAAACGTTGAAGATAATCGAGACAATAAAAATAAATCTTAGGTAGTATAATAGAGGCCGTTGTAAGAAAAATAAAGGGCTGCATAACGTCAGGAAACTAGGGGTCGTAGTAGGAAAAGTTAAAATGGTGATATTTTAGCGTGCAGGACCGGGTGAGGAATTCCCCCCGCGGGACCACTTCACAGACTGCTTCGGCAATATTTTCCAGCACTTTCTTATTAGTGTTTAGAACACTTGTGTAAAGTTGAACTAATTTAAGAGTTTAGAGCCATAAAGAAAGAGGTAACAGCCCTTGAAAAGCCGGACACTGATATACACATCTGCACCGTTAAGATTCTCCTAAGAGAAGGTGCATTAATTTAAAGTTTTAACTACGACGGCTTCAGGTACCTATTTGCGAACACCGTAATGCCGTCTCACACACTGTCGTTGTCTCTCACTGCCGTCGGGAATTTCAGTTTGATAGAGAAACTTGCAAAAATATGGTTGAGGGTTATTAAAAATGGAGCGTTACACGAAAGAACAACACGTTTTCATTGTTGACCAATTCTTTAAAAATTAGATAAAATAGTCAAAGGAAAAAAGTTTCGTTTTGAGATTCTCTTAATTTCTCTAAATAAAAGTGATCTGAAATTTGTATGTACATTGTTGTTGCTGCAATATAGTATAGACCGAAAAAAAATCTTGAAAAGATATGTTTTTTTTGCATGAATTTATTTCGGACTTTGACTTCAGAGCAGCCATATAAAAAGTAAGATTTCGCATAATTCAATACAGAATTATACTTATTTTTCAATTCTCTCTTACGGTAAAACCAATGATTATTTTGGGCTCCCAATTTTTATACATACCCTTTGGAGTCTCAACTATCAATACCCATTTAAAAATGTTCGATTTTACCCATTTTAGCAACAATTAGAATTTTTTCAAAATTTCTTCGAAAAAATACTTATAAACATTTTGAGCAGGAGATACCGTATTTGCGTATTCTTTAAATGTAATTCTAGGATCAAATAGAGGAAGTTCAAAGTTGAAGTGAGTTTACGGCAAAACAAGGTACTGTACAATAACAATCAAAAGTGATTTTGATTGTTTGAAGAAAAGACTAAAACTATGAAAATTTGTTTAAATCGGAAATTTATTTTAACTGTTCTGATGCAAAGAAGATTGATACATTTCACAGCTTCTACAGCAGATAAATAAATAATTTTTTTTTAATCGATAGAGGAAAGCAAAATCTATTCGATTTTTACAATGTTGATTCAAAAACATTTTTCAATTTAAATTTATATGCAAAATATAGAACAGTAATGTACGGTATAATGTATAGAAAATCCAGCTACGAAAACTTTTATTAATATTTCACAAACATTAAAATAGACTTTAAAATAAAATTTACTACTTATGGAAAGTAGAAATTTATAATAGCATTTTCTTGCATTATACAGTCATATTTACTTATATATCACAAATATCTCCTGCAACAATTAAAATATCAAGAAGTAACGAACACAAACTACTGTCAAGGTCGTTTTACGAGTACAGCAAATGCACTGCTCGCATAGTCCCCCCACTCCTCACTCTTTGACTCTGCTCGATTCCTGTGAAATGTATCAATATTTTTTGCATCAGAACAGTTAAAATACATTTCCGATTTAAACAAATTTTCATAGTTATAAAGTCTTTGCTTCAAACAATCAAAATCACTTTAGGTTGTTATTGCTGTAAGTAAACTCACTTCAACTTTGAGCTTTCATATCTCGATGACGATTCATCGTATCCACAAGATCAAAAGTGGATTTTATTCGTCAATCCCTCCTCTATTTGATCCTATAATTATATTTGAAGAATATGCAAATACGGTAGCTCCAGCTCTAAATGTTTATAAGTATTTTTTCGAAGAAATTTTGAAAAAATTCTAATTGTTGCTAAAATGGATAAAATCGAAAATTTTTAAATGGGGACTGATAGTTGAGACTCCAAAGAGTACGTATAAAAATTGAGAGCTCAAAATAGTAATTGGTTTTACCGTGAGAAAGAATAATTGAAAAAATAAGTATAATTCTGTATTTTCCTAATTAACAATTGAATTGTGCGAAATATACAAAGCCGATTTCGATGAAAACATTTCTGCGATACTACCATACCATGAAGTACTCGGGACTATAATTTTTATATTGCTGCCCTAAAGTCAAGGTCCGAAATAAATTCATGAAAAAAACATTTTTTTCACGAATTTTTATTGTCTCTACTGTATTGCAGCAACAATAATGCACATAAAAATTTAGGACCACTTTTATTCTGAAGAGAATATCAAAACGAACCCCTTCCTTTGACTATTTTCTCTAATGTCAATTTTCTTCGCGTTGTATAGAACTATTTCCAACAAAAATGAGCATTACTATATAAAACATCCATCCCGAAACAGATACCCACTGGACTAGCGGACATACTGTACCTATATGACTCAATAAAATATTTATATTTTTTAAGTAAAAACCTTGTTTTCTATAAAAATTACTCCTTGCATGAATTTTGGTACTATCTGTATATTTGTGTGATCGTAAGCTTAATATTACGTTAGATAAGCTTTTACTTAAAAAAAAATGTTTACGTATAAGGCATGTAATCATTTTGTTCATAATAAAATTGTTAATAGGTAGTTTTGGATATTATATTTAACAATTTATTTTCAGTTCCCGCAAAGAAAATTTCGCCAGAAAATACCACCCCGGTTAATACACCAGAAGGGTAAGTTGATTATGTCATACATTTGTGTAAACATACGTACCTACATTTATAAGAAACGCAAAAATATTTATAAAATCGTAGTTGCTAAAAAAGATTGAAAGTAATAATAATTTTGAGTTACCATTTATTAAGGATTGGATAGAATGCAGAAAAATACCTACCTGGTGGGTTTTGTTCGATAATTCTTTTAAGTACGCCAGTTTAAATAATATTCTTGTTCCGATTGAAAAAAGGAATTTCGGTCAGATTACGCCATTTCTGGTGAAAACCGGAAGCCGAAAATAACCCTATGAAAGAAGTATTCCGCTTAAGATTGAGCAAGACGTTTTTTTTTCGTGAAAATGCGTTTTCCGAAGATAAACGGGCTTTCACTGGAATCAGTACTAAGTCAACTTCAAAGGTCATTTTGGGGTCAAAAAACACATTTTAGAAAATAAGTTTTAAACAAAAGTTTCGGTGTAGAATCGAAATCCGCAATAAAAATATACTATTTTATTTAAAAAATCGACTTCCGGTCCGAATAGGCTATTTCCGGTCGGAACTGGAAATTGAAAACGTCTCATATCGATCGGGCAAGGTCCATTTACTCAAAACCATATATGTAATTTTACAAAAAAAAAAAATCATTGCTGTATTCATACTATGCAGCACAAAGGGTCAAAAAATTAACTTTTAGGGGCGAAAACAAAGGACTTTTAGACTTTCTGCCCATTGACACTTGATCCACGCGTTCAGAACTATTACATAGCAAAGTTTCAAAAAAATTTTCCGAAAGCGCTTTCTTAAGGATTCTGCAAGGGAGAGGCTGAAATTTTTCATTCCCTTATCGGACAGATTTCTCCGTACGCTTAAATCGGGCCGAGTCCGTGAACTTCCCCGGTGATAATTGAAGCAGTAAAGTGGCGAGTATATGAGCAACGGGGGTTGTAAATAAGGGTTGAACGTGTTTGGTCAACCTGCACTTGGTTACCGGACATGTTTATCCGTGCCGAATGTCATAAACATCGGGTTACGGTTCGTTAAGGCTCCGCGATTTGTGTTATGCGTCGCGTAATACGGATGCAATTTAGTTCGGGACCGCTCCAGATTAGAGCAACACGTGATTCATGGTTTCTCACCTCTGGAATTATGTACGTAATCTTATATCCAAACCCTCTTTACGTTAAGAAACATACTGGGCAGTAATCATTTTTCGAAATTCTAATAACTGCCGTTTTGGAGCTGCCACAATCTTACTGGGAAACAATTAATATGTGATGTTAAAAAAGTACAAAAAAACCTTTAAGAAAAATGACAAAAAAACTTCATGCGAACTAAATTTTTGTTTGTTTGCATGCAAACTTGATTCTTGCGTAAATAAGAATTAAAGCACATATTTTAAGTCCGAGACTCGAAGGCGACATTCTCTCGAAAGATTAAAGAAATATGCCCCTAATTTTGACCTCTCGAAGAGAGTGTATGCGATTTATATACTTAGTTTTGTCTCTCTCGGTTATAGTAATTATTTGGATCCAGTCGGATCATTAGTCCGCAGAGTAGTTGTTTCATGCAATATCATCAGTTTAAAATTGTTTCACCTACGGACGACAGCAGTTACTATCCAGTTAAATTGTTAAAAAGAAATCTGCAACCACAGATCGCTTCTGTATTTCCAGTCCTTCAATAGAAACAGAAAGTTTGAGGTTATAGTTTTTAGTTCATGTTCAGATGGGTTGCTGAGTTTTGTGTATTAATAAATTTGTTTGGTTTTAGATTAATGTAATAAGGTATATTGAATCATTGCGTTTAGGTCAGCAACTTTGCGTAACAAATCGGCGTTTAATACTTGGATAAAGTTTTTATTTATTTGTTAATCCTAAATTAAGAGAAAATCGTCAAAAAAACCAAGTTAAATGCCACCAACTCAAACTGCGCTTGACTTCAAGTCGAGTAGTGTTTAAATAAACCAAGCTACTTGACTTGAAGTATCCCTGCGGTTGCACAGTTTTCCGTTCGTAAGCAACTTTCCCCGTCGATATTTTGCACTGCTGAAAAACTAATGTTTCATTTTCAGGAAACGGCCACAAAGTAATACCGAGACCCCGGGGTCAGCACGTCGCGTCCTGGGAAGCATCGAACGGTCTTTCCACAAGGTGCGGCATGTCCTAACGCCCCGAAGGCCTGGAGAGGCAGGCATCACCCAACCCGCATCGCTTACCAGCAAGGTAAGAAGTAATAATACATCTGGAGACAACTTCATTAGCTGCGTTATGGTTTTCGCCATTCCTCGCTAGCCGGATGAATGATTGCGAGTACTGCGCAAATAATTCAATTTCTTCTTATCGGTGGTGGAATTTACAGAATGAGTCAGCTCGGTTGTTTTTTTTTAATGGATTTGATAGAATTTATTTTTTTTTTGGTTGGTTTCTCGAATCCCCCACATTAAGAAACTAGTACTATAACGCCATCGCTAGATGGCAGCATTTACGCTCTCCGAGAAGTTAATTGAGTGGAAGTGGATAAGGAAAATAAGGTTTTTAAAAAAGAATCTCAAATTCCTTCACAATCCTTTCATTTTTTTATTACCGTTCAAATTCTTTAAATAATTATTTGATCCTTGTTTCAGTGTAAAAAAGTTGTGTGGGGTTCATTTTTAGTCAGTTTCGATCAATACCAACCTAATTATATTGTTGAATTTCCGTCAAATGGCGAGGAAAATCATGTCACAATAAAATTAATTTATTCATTCATAAAATGAAACTAACTCGTTTTCTCAGTGTGAATTAAAAATGTAACAAAAAGCGAGCAAATTATCACTTGCATATACAGAGGTTCCGAATTGTACAGATCATACTTGAACTATACAAATTAAAAGAAAACAGTTCCTATTAACATGGTTCAAGAAAACATTGACAAAGTGTGTTCAATTTTGAATATAATCAAACTACTACAGAAAAACAAATTTACTCGGGTACTTTATTTTTTATCCTTTATAAGACAATTGTATCATTCACAAACATGCCTCCAGAGTAAATGTCAACACAAACTTGTTTTGCAGAATCTGTGCAATGTGTCTACGACTCAGTGTCGCGATCCCGAATACGTCATCAACGAGTTGTCGAAAGCTTTAGAAAAGAAAGGAATTCACTGTGATAGAAAAGGGTAAGTACACTATTTCAATCTTTACGTAAATATTGGTATCACATTGACAGTTGGTCGTCCATTTGTGCGGCACGTGTGTGGTACAATTTATACAAATAAAAGGAGTTTTAATTAAAATACGTGTTGGATACAGCGTCCGAGATTGGTGTGTTTGTTTTCGCTTAATTCATTCTTATACGTTTGTTGGTAATGTAGATAAAAGAAGAGATAGATATTTTTTAACGATTTTATAATTCATCGTGTTAATGGGAGGTATGTTCTGTTTATAGGTGAAAATAAACAAAAATAAGAGAATAGGGCTCAAATTCCTTCAGTGCAGGTCTAGGTTCCATTTGTCGTTCTATTTATTTGAAAGATTATAAAAATAGTATTAAAATTTTATACACGGTGTCGCCGTTCTTTTACACTTTTGTATGTAAAAACAGTTTACAGAACTTTTAGATTCATTGCTTAGGAACGTTTTTCCATTTCTTTCTGTTCTTTATTACACTGGGTCTTCTTCATCGGAATCTCAAGGAGGCTATACAAGTTTGAGCCCTAATTATCTAACTATTCTTAAATTAGTTTTGTGTTGTCTTATTGTATTATTTATATTATTAGTATCTTTAGGTACATGTAATTTTCTAACATCTCCTTCTTAATATTGAAGATTTCTTGTAGTTTCCACATCTAAAGTCATACAGATTATTTTGGCCTTCTTCTTCATCTGAACCTCGAGGAGGCTATACAAGTTTTAGCCCTAATTGTCTAACTATTCTTAAATTAGTTTTGTGTTGTCTTATTGTATTCTTTGTATTATTAGTATCTTTAGATACATGTAATTTTCTACTTTCTCATTCTCAATATTGAAGATTTCTTGTAGTTTCCACATCTAAAATCATACAGATTATTTTGGCCTTCTTCTTCTTCTGAATCTCGAGAAGGCTATACAAGTTTTAGCCCTAATTGTCTAACTATTCTTAAATTAGTTTTGTGTTGTCTTATTGTATTCTTTGTTTTATTAATATCTTTAGATACATGTAATTTTCTACCTTCTCTTTCTTAATATTGAAGATTTTTTGTAGTTTCCGCGTCTAAAATCACAAAGACTATTTTGTCTTCTTCATCTGAATCTCGAGGAGGCTATACAAGTTTTAGCCCTAATTATCTAACTATTCTTAAATTAGTTTTGTATTGTCTTATTATATTCTTTGTATTATTAGTATCTTTAGATACATGTAATTTTCTACCTTCTCATTCTCAATATTGAAGATTTCTACACATATAAAGTCACACAGATTATTTTCATCTTCATCTGAACCTCGAGGAGGCTATATAAGTTTGAGCCCTAATTACCCACACGCCACAACAAACTGAATTTGTTGCAAGTTGAATAATATGTGACTGTAAATTCGAAGGGACTGATTAATTTTGCTCCATAAAACTGTATATACTTGCCGTAAAGAATTTGTTGCATTTTGTCGTAATATGTGAATAGCAGGACTTTAAAGACAGTGATTTGTTGAGTTTTGCTAAAAGTTACATCTTGTCATACATAGCCTTTATAAATGATTACAAGCCATGTTACCAATAATTTTATTTGGAATTTTAAAAAACTTGAGAATTATTAAAACAATAACATTTTGTTGCACCAGTTGGTTATTGCTATAATTGGCGATAGCTTTATCTTGAGCGTAGATCAAAATTTAAGGTTTTATTAATTGACAGTGCCAATCGTGCAATGTTGGTTGCCTAAGCTCTTTGGTCACTTGGCTTTTAATCACTTGTGAAGGTTCTGTAATGTCCAGTCTTAAACATCTGAGTCTATACTTACAATAAAAACGGTCAATTGTGGATTTGTTGCGATTTGCAATAACGCCCCTCAATTGCAGATTGCTGGTCGTAAATGATACGAGGATGGAATTAAGTTCTTGTCGCTCACGGTCACCAATAATCATAATTTCGAAAAATTTCAGCGCCCGTATGCACTCGTATTCGGAATAATTACCCGATATCTTATTCCTGACAAATTGCCGGTCATCCATTTCAGTCATAGGAGGGCCCGTCGTCCTCTATGTGCTCACGTTCTATATTACATCCGACGCTGGGTTATTACGGCCGCGTCAGTGGGTGGAAAAAATAACGAAATGCATTATTTGATAAACGGCGGAACATCTTATTTAACAAATAACTAATTACGTGTTGTGCTGATTAGTAAATGAGTTATGCGTTGTTTGAGCCGCTTAAGCGTTCGCATATGCTAATGGCATGTTGAAATATCGGTTATTGAGGGCAGTAAATTACCGACTACCAAGAAAAAAAGGCGCCTTGCCATTCTCGTGTACGCCGTTGCCGATGGGCGAATAATATTATGTTAATACGTATCATTCCGGTTAAACGGCTACAAAAGTATTCGATGGGCAGGCATTTTTACACTTCATTCAGGTTTCTGATGCGGTAAATACTTAACTCGCCTGATTAATATCTTACCGTGTACGCGTCTAATAAATTATGCTTCATTAGCGTAACATATTTTGTTGGTTTTTAACTCCGCATTTCACATTGGATCAGCCATAGAGTTGTTTCAATTATCCTAATTCGAACGACAATGTTCTGTTGTTCGGGAAGCGACAAGACATCGAATTATTAATTCGTTTTGGTTTAAATACCATCTAGTTCAGTGTTGTTGCATTTGATAACAATTGGCAATGGTAACTTTTTAGAAGCATTTCCAATTTACGCTGCATTTATATCCTGAAAATTGTAATTGTGGTCGTCAACGCGAAATGAAAACACTGGCATTGGAAGAAGCTAAATTTGATTGATGAAGAACCGAACACCAGTACAAAACGGTACGGACCATCTTAAAAGTACAACTTTTCTACTCCTTTGATATACAATGGGCCCAGGCCGTTTTGCGAGATTTTCCATCTAGCATTTTCTCATTGGACTCTGGAAATGGTTATTCAAAGAGGAATCACCTTAATTTTTTCATGACTTAGTATTCTGAATTACTTTATGTACTACTAAAAGTGTCCCAAAATTCAAACAACAAGTAATTTTGATAGAAAACACAGGTGTACCTTGTACCAGTTTAAGCCTAAAAGATAGTTAATTATATTGGTATAAATACAGGATGTGGCGTGTATAATCTATAAAAATTAAACTACAGCTTCTTGATGATGTTTGTAATAGAAATGTCTTATACGAAAAAGTTCTATCTCCGCGTTTTTTTTTTGTAAATTAAAGTTCATTTATTCAACGAAAATGAAGGCCGCCCCTGTGTCATTTATTAAAAATTTTGGAAATGTTTTTATGTGGAATCCATCTTTGAAAGTTCTCATGAATTCATTATAGATTTAGCGAAAAAAACACAAATCGCACTGACAGAAAACAAATAGCAAAAGAAATTTAATATATGCAGACCGCAGTATAGGTTAATACTCGTTTAGTTGTTAAACAACGTCTTCGGATGCGTTCCCATGCATAAATTACGTTTACTTTGGTCTTACTGAGCTGCTGTCTATTCTGTACTTCAGCAGAACATTGTGTTTATTTCGCTGGAACTGCCTTAACCCATGAAGGCAATTATATGCCATTGGAAGAACAAATACAAACGATTCAACTCGCCGAAGATTGCCAGTCTCTGAAGTTTCTAAGGATCAAAAGTAGCCGAGGCATTTTTCTGCAATAATTTGGAAGTAGAACCACTAAGAATTCCTTTTTTATATTAGCCGGAGCGGAATCTGGACTGAGAGAACTACATCGGTTTGTTCGCTAATGTTTAGACGTTATTAATCAAGTCATCAACACAGCTCAGATCTAATTGTTTCAAAAATCATTTGTTCTAAGCTTTGATGAAGAGTTAATGAAGGAACTGTTGGATTTTTTCTTATTCCATGTACCCATACATTGCAGTCTAAATGATTGAAAATAAACACATGATTCTGTCTTTGTCAGAGGAATTATCCCCTCTCTGCTTCTGTCTAATTGTAAGAAATATGTCATAGTCCATTATTTCGAGGATTCCAATTAAAAGGGAAGAAAAAAAGTAATTTTTATATCGAATTTCACCAAAGGAAACGACTCAATTTGCACAAAAGAAACTCAAAATAACGACAATAATAATTCATTTTAATATACATATGAGATCAGTAACACCTTTTTGAAAGTGTACGTACTTAATTTCACATTTGCTCCTTATATTTTTCTTTTTTCTTTCTACATATTTAAGGAAAAATGTGTAATGCAGTCAATTTAACTCGACTCTGAATATGAAGGATCCTCGTAGCTCCCCTCTACATCTGTAAAGTGCGTACAGCGGTGGTCATGGTTACCGTTGCGCAGCAGTGAAAGACGGAGTGTCCTTTGTACTTTGTACCTAAATTTTTCCGCCCTCTCTAGTCAAGAGCTCCACTTATAACATTGCATAGCAGGTACATGCCTTACTATTATGGTCTCCTTTCTTTGTCACACCTATTGCGGACTCTCTTCTCGTTCTACGTGTCTCGCGGACAAGATGAGTTTGTACGTGATGTAAAACTTGAAAGTCGAATGATTTTTCTTTTCAATCGATGAATGTCTTACAAACCAGTTTATCCTTTATTGTACCGTAGAGATCGATCCATATACCATTATTAATTGTGAAGCACGCCCTTGTTTTGCTTTGCCATCAAAAAAAGGCACTGTCACTAAGCCATATCGGCATTCTAATAACCGGCGACAGGCAATTTAGCCTTTCTCAATTCAGCAGTTGGTAGCACAGTCCCCGATAGTCCATCCGTCGAGCCACGGGCGCATAAATCTTGCCATTATTTGCGTCGGTTTTTATCTTTGGCGGCCCCGAGAGGTGTTAATTGATATGCCGCCGATGCGAACCATTAGCCGTCTCCCGGATTGGTATTCTGGCGGTGCGCGGTCCTCTCTAGATGACGGACGGGTGGACGTGATCTGCGGGTATCAGCCTGTCTCGCGCTGAATAGATGCGCCCAGATAGCGGGAGGCCGTGCAGGCATTCCTTATGGCGGAATAAAAACTCAAAGTGTATCAGGTGAAATTACACTTATTATGTTGAAAAGTTGATACAGAGTATACAGCAGTGCGAATACCAGGCTGTTTTTATAAAGTTTAGCGCCCAGAGATATCGAGGATCCTTTTACAATGGTACGTTTACTGTTAGAATTGGAAGGAATAACCTAGTTGGTTAGATTTAAATCAGTTGATATTTAATCAGAAAGCATCTTACTAGCCTTAAGATAAGTAGATAAGTAGACAGGAAACGCAAAAAAATGCTGCACCAAATGGAATAATGTCCAAACGGTTCAACCATGGAGACCAGAAAAGAAGACTGAACTCATACAGGAAAATTAACAAAAAATTGTCAACTTGTCTTAACTTGTATTTGACTTGTCAGTGTTAGAAATTACATATAATTTTTACCACTAGGGTCGCTAGTTTTCCGTTTGCACCGAAGTTAATGTAGTTAGTATGACAAATACGAGTGAAGTAAGCAAACAACCAATTTTATTTTAAAGTCTTTCTTTCATCTACTATTTCGGTGCATATGGGACACTAGCGCACTCTAATTTGGTAAGATATTTGTTTACATGGAGTTTGCTGTCCTTGTGTAGTCACCCTGGGTTTAACATTTGGTAGGGTCAAACTATAATTAGCTAGATTACGTCGGCTTTGCAATATGAATCAGCCGAATCAACTGAGTTTCGATGGAAGATTGTGTAGTTATTACCTTCGTTCGTACCAAGATGAGGGTTTTGATCTATGTGACATATTCCCCATAGGCATTTTCTTTTAGGGATATTTAAAACGTGTTTTGTCCATACCTTAATGGGACACAATAAATGATTGAGGTCTAAACACCAATGGATTCTACTGTGAAAATTTAGGGCTAATTTATAATTTTTCCAATTCTTCAAGTATTGTACAACTTCGGGAGGCACCTGATAGGAAGAGCGTCCTTCAATTGGAAAATAATTCGGCAATTACTTTATGTCGATAGTAAAGATTTCGATAATGAGGCTATGAAAATCATAGCTTAGATATCTTGATTTATCGTCATAAAAAATGGTGTCATCTGTTAGGATTTTTATGCAAGCGTTATTCAGAAGAGATGTTAAGAAGAAGTTAATGTATAGTTAGTCTTAAAACTTATTTATGCTTACGAAATTTTACTTGGTGAGTTAAATTAGAATATTTTATATATTTTTTTGTATTTCGTCCTATTTTTCAGCATTCAGTTTGTACAATATAGAGGGTGTCGCAAAAGAAACGCAGGTTTTTGAATATGATGAATAAAATATTAATTAAAAAAGTTGGCAAAGTTTTTACATGTTTTTAAAGCCATTACACACAGATGTCATTTGGCATCCTCAACTTCTTTTAAGAAAATTCTGTATCACCCTTTCACATACTTGCGGCTGAATTGCCTTGATAACTCTCCGAATTTCTGCTTTTAATTCAAGAATGGTATTCATTTGAACAGAATAAATTTTGGACTTCACGAATCTCCAAGGAAAAAGTTCCATGGCGTAAGATCGCATGATCTTGATGGCCAAGTCACTTTACTGTTACTGAGTGGATAGTTTTGTGTGCTGTATGGTGGCACCATCTTGCTGGAATTCATGCCATCCAAATGGGGCCACAAACAGTTCAATACGCGCCATTATTCCATGGCTAGAAATTGGCCTCAATCATTTGGGATCGAGGGGGATTATCCCTCTTTATCCTGCCTCATCTCGTGTAGGCCTGGACAGCCTTCGTACGTGGGACCCATCCGTCGTCTACCCCGACCGCAAATGCGGCCGGTGTAGGCGCTTTGTGGGACCTCCTTTTGTCCTGGCTGGGCCCCGCCGGCTAGGGCCTAAACAGTTCAATAGCATCTCGATATCGTTCTCCATTGACAGTCACTGCGTATCCAGCCTCATTTTCCAATCACCCCACTAGCGTATAGTCCACACCACTCTTTGGGCAAACAGTGGTCGTTCTTGAATGACCAGAAACTCCAAACTCCACAGTTTTGCTTGTTTGCAACCCACTAAGATGGAAAGGCACCTCGTCGCTAAAGATGATTTTCTTAGCAAAATCACCGTCCACTTTTTGATTCTCCAACATCCAGTCAACGAATGTCCGGCGCATTAAATGGTCGTCTGGTTTCAATTCCTGAGTTAGCTGAATCTTGAACGGATGCAGATCTTCTGTTAAAATCCACCGCATTATGCTGTTTGAACCGACGGTATACTGAGCATACGGGAATTTCCGCCACACTATCATTCGCCGCAGCAATGTTTTCAACTCAGCCTGTTTGTTCAAATTTGGCAACTGATCTTTTCATAGTTGTCTCACTCAGGGCGTTCCTTTCAAGGAAAATTCCATGTAATTTGCGCACAGTCTCACATACACACTCTCTGTACTTTTAATGAATTTACACAATCTTCACTTGCTCATCCGTCGCATAGTTCTCCCAACGTTATTACAACACAATGCTGCTAATTCTTCGGATTCAAATCTTGCGTTACTTTTGTGACACCGTGACACCCTTTATTTAGTAATAGTATTTAGTTTTTGTTTGCACCTGCATAATCTTTAGTCTTAATCGCATTTTTTTTTAGATTCAAGCTCAGGGGGAAACTGGAACCCAACGTCATCGACCGCTTCGGTGGCTGTTCCTTCGAGCTAGAAATATGTTACCTTCCGAATCTAGGACCACCGCAACTGTCAGAAACTTTTAACACCCCCACCAAATCCATTCTCGTAAAGGGTCCTCTTAATTTCAACACTCCCTCCAGAGGTAATAATAACAATTCCCCCGCTAACGTTACGTCCATCAAAGACGCTAAAATCGAGGTTTTGAATAACTCAAATAAGGTACTCAACGGTGCCTTCGTAGGAATAAGAAGGAAACGATTAAAGGGCGATTCTTGGTGTTATAAGAAAGTCTGTGAGCAAGTGCTAGCGCTAACCGCCACAGATTTTAAGAATGTTACAGAATCGTCAGTATAATAAGTGTTTTAGAGGTTCTATATATTAGTTTTTAATGCGGTAGTACGGTAAAACAAATACAGTAATAATTACACACTCGAAAAGTGACGAGCAACTAAAGCTGCTGTGTAGGCATTGTTTTCTTTAAATAGTTCATGAAATTCGTCAAAAAAGAAGCAGTGAAAGTTGCACAATATACCTTAAATGACTACCAACTAGAGTTGCTCTGGATTATTGTGATACTCGTGTTAATAATATTATTAAATTGAAGGTTATAATAAAATAAATATTCTACATTCAGGAATGTGTTCTAGATTTTAGAAAAGAAGTTGTTCGGAGTGCTATTTTGGTTAGGAAATAAAAATGTCTTTTAAATATTAATTATTTTTTTATTAGTAGTCAAGAACAAAAATATTTTTCTTCTAGGACAAATTTATTATACTATTCATTAGGGTGGCCCAAAAAAAAAGAATATTTTTTTTCTCGTGTCTCGTGAAAATATGTCAGTTTATCATGTTTTAAGAGCCCCCTCAAAAAAGAGAGGTCGCTCAAGATTTTTAAAAGTTTCCAAAATCGTCAAAAACTGTTTTTTTTATTTTTTTCTCGTTATTTTATCATTTTCTAGATTGAAAAAAATCTCGATTCTGAAAATTTGAAATCGATATTTTAATTTTTAAAGGTCACTCATAATTATTTTAACTTTAAAAGTAGGTGTACCTAAAATGTTTTTGAACGACGACGTCTAAAAATAAATATCAACGAACTAATTATTATTTTTTATTGAATTTGATGAACAAAAGAAATAATAGAAATAAATCACGAGACACTTAAAAAATTTTTCGAGGCAAAATTTACCACCGCACTGAGTATCAAATATTTATAATTTTTTAATTTTTTAAAATTTAAGTGTCTCGTGATTTATTTCTATTCTTTTGTTTATCAAATTAAATAAAAAAAATTATTAGTTCGTTGATATTTATTTTTAGAGGTCGCTCGAAAACATTTTAAGTACACTACTTTTAAAGTTAAAATAATTATGAGTGGCCTTTAGAAATTAAAATATCGATTTGAAATTTTCAGAATTGAGATATTTTCAACCTAGAAAATGATAAAATAACGAGAAAAAAAATTTAAAAAATATTCAATTTTTAAAGATCTTGAGCGACCTCTAAAACTTTTTTTTGAGCTGATTTTTTGAGGGGGCTGTTAAAACATGATAAACTAACATATTTTCACAAGAGACGCGAAAAAAAAATAATCGTTTTTTTTGGACCACCCTATTATTCATACTTCTATTAAAGAAGCAGAGTCATTAATTTAAGCAAAATCCTCGAATTGTCCCAAAGCTGTCAAAGCTGTGTTTGTTTTACTGAACTTAGCCCATAGTTCAAGGTTGAGGAATTTGTAAATATATATTTTTTAATATACAGTGTTGGGTTAGTGGGAAGAAGGTATTAATGATTTATTTATTAAGTGTGTAAAAATTAGTAATATTAGTGGTCAAAAGCATAAAATTTGCTCAAAGATCTTACTCAGAATACGAATTTTCTTAATTAGAAAAATTTTTGTATAAAATTAGAGAAAAATGAATTATTTAATTTATATTTATAATGTAGTGACTCAGTTTTAACACCAGATTCTAAAGTAAATAGAAATATTTGTTCCTTTACCGATTTTGTTACAAATTTGTTTTATACTGGGGTTAAAATAATAATACATAAACCTCGACCGTAATGTTTATTGTTTATGAATACTGCAGTATTTTACCGAAAAAACTCATAATCTTTGACCAAACATAAGAAAAAAGTTCGCACGGACATAAATTTTACAATTTTCATTATTTATATCATTCAGTGTTCCAGGTCTAGAGGTCTTTGATTTCAGATTCTCTGAAATTGTTTTCCTTTTTTCTTCTTTCCAATCCTCCTACTTTGCACAAATCTTCTTTCACTTCCAACCATCTCATTCTGGGTTATCATCTTCGATCCTTTCTTCCTTCATCATAATTTTTGTTAGTTGTTTTCATTTGTTTTGTATGTTCAGGATAATCAGAACAAAACTCATAATGTAGTTTCAATTCTGATGATCTAGCTGACCATCGAATTGCACCAATCCAACAGGAAACGTGAAAAACAAATAAAACAATTAAAAAATAAAACTCTGTCCTCCTGTATTAAAAAAGGGGCTCTGCGGACCTTGGCTCATATGAACAATTTTCATATTTTTGGTCAGAGAACCACTTATACCTTTGTGAAGGAAATTGAAGCTTCTTTAAAGCAGTGAGTTTTCCTTCACCTCTGTTTTGGAAACACACATTTTCAGTAATTATCAAAACGTACTGGGCAATATTGTGAAATGTGATTTTGACAGTCTTCTAATATCATTTAATCGTCACACATCTGTATGAAGTGTTCAGTATCATTTTTGTCTAAAATTTTCTTAATCTGTTGAATTTTATATATTTAATTTTAATACTAAAAACTTTGTTTATTTCTCAGTTCAGTTGCAAGGACACTAGAACCTTGTTTCGTTTCCAAAACACAGATCTCATTAATAGTTGCTTTTGCCGAAAAGTACAACTTTGTATCTCTAGACGTTTGTCCGCTTATTGTACTCTCAATAATAATTCAATACCATTATAGCTTTTTTGTACTTTTATAATATAATAAATCGTAAAACTAATCAACTGGCTTATTGTATATTTTCGTTGCAAAATCAAAGAACCTATTTGCCAATCGAGAAAGCTGTAGTTCAGTGTAAAAACTGTAGTATACCCATTGAGTAAGGTCTTTACATAATTGCTGTTACTCTTGTCACCTTTTTGGTTAATTGTTACGATAGAAATTGAAATAGAATAAACAAAACTATTTTTTTTTGCTTACAGTGACCACAAAGGTTCTTGAATTGTGGGTTGTAATATAAACACTCTAGTGTTGTTCTTAATTGAAATTTTTTCAAGTGTCAACGTACACAATTTCTTGCGTTTTCAATGTTTTCGTCATTCTTATATTAATAAGCCCAACTGGAACTAGAGAAAATTAAAAGCCTTTACCCTTCTTTAAATATTTTTTGTATCATCAGTTCCACTTCACTCCACTTTTTCACTCCACTTTTTGGGACTGCAATTAATTTCATCGTATGCAGCGATCAACGAACAACATCTTGTTAATGAAAATCTATATATAAATTATATAAAAAATGATGGCACCATAAATGGACGGAAACAAAACCAAATCCACCATGGAATCTCATAATAGTATCACGCTGAGTGCTGGTATAATAAAAATTAAAAAAAAAAACGTCAGCTACCTGCTCGTTCCGTAAGGTCCTAGACCTTTAGACATACTGGACGCCCCATATGGTGGGATTCCACGCATATGGTAGCGGTGTTAACGGTCCAATTTGATCAGTGTATCAGGTGTCACGTGACAGGTGAACCGAAAGGACACGTGCCACGTGCTTTCACTCAGTCAAAGGGTTTTCCCGCTCCTTTTAATGGCTTTTAATGTTTAAAGCTTCGCGCTCTCCTTCGTGACTTTCAGTTATTTCCAACAGAAACTGAAAAGTTCGTTAGTTGGAGTTGATATATTTTCATCAGTACAATCAATATTCCCTTTATCAAGCGCTTTTTACATTAATTGTATAGTTTAGTGATAGAAAGGATTAATGAACTCACAAAGTAAAACAATATGATGAAATGTTTCGTTTTTAACTGAATTACAAATTTCTCCAAACAGTTGTTATGATCGTCAGATTTTACCGTTTGGACTGTTTTTTTTTTGTGAAATATGTTCAGTGTGCCTATACATTAGACAGAAAAAAATGTTAAATAAAAGAGTTGTAGGTACCTACAAATTTTCTTAAAACGACAGAATTTTGTGACACTACACAAATGAACATCGCAAAAAAGACACGTGGCAAATGATTTTGCCATGTCGTATTGACTCTTTTGACCATACATCGCCTTTAGGATGTTCTATATAAAAAAAAATGAAAGTCTTTTTATATCTATACAAATTCTGAGGCTCCATAATCAGTTCTATAATTTTTATATGTAACCAAAAACAACAGCTGCAGATGGGTGTAGACCATAGGAAAACAATCTGTACTTGTAAAAATATAACACCCTATATATTTTTCCATATAAAACACTTTTTATCCACTAAAACAAATGTGGATAAAACACTTTTTAGTGTTACAAAGATGCAAGGTGCAAGGTAACGATAAGGTAATGAATGTGTAATGAAAATACAGGCTTTTACAAATTCGCTTCTCACTACAGGGATCTCGGAAACAGTAAGAGATACGAAGTAGCTTAAATGGGGGCAAAGTTACATTATCAGAAAGCCGACACTATGCTTCTAAAAAAATCAAATCTAACATGATTAGTTTTCGAAATATTTGAAAAAAAAACCAGATTTTGGAATCGGTTTTTGTTTTATTTCGGCCTTGTTTGAGGTGATATTGAAAAAAGAAGTACACTTTCTCATAGCAAGTCTCTCCAGGACCATCGTCAACTTCATTTTTTTAAATATGACCCTGGAAATTTTATTACATTTTTTGTAAGCCTTCATGACTCCCAATACTGCCGCTGCCATAATCAAATTCAGACGTTTTGTCTCGAAAAATTCAATGTAATAAATTTTCTAGGCTCGTAATTAAAAAAAAAGTTGATGACGGTGTTCTTCTTTTTTCAATACCACCTCAAACAAGGCTGAAATGAAACAAAAACGGATTTCCAAAATTTCGGTTTTTTTGTTAGCTTTGATTTGATCAGGGGCATTATGTTGGTCCCCTGATTATGCAACTTTGCCCCCATTATATTCTATATTCTATTTCAACGCCCTCTATCTCCGAAACGATGCGATTTAGGAAAAAAGTTTATATCATGAATGAACATTATTTTAACCTGTTTTAACAATTCCTGAGGTTATCCAGATTAAACCTGAATCACCCTGTATTTTTACATATTTGGATAAAACACTTTTTTATCCACTAAAGACACTATGGATAAAACACTA